TATATGTATGAAGAGTTCAGATGCAAAAGCCTCTAAATGACGTCTGAAATTTTCTTCTAAAATGAGCATTTTTATCAGGCTCCTAGTAAAATTACTGAACCTAAACATAGCAGATGCCAGTTAGAGGCTTTTGCATCTGAACTCTTTATACACGTACATACTCACACACACACACAATATATCAATAATACAAAAATATAGTAATATATAATATAATATTATATGTGTGAGTACTTATATATATATATAGTATATATATATATATACAGTGGGTACGGAAAGTGAATACTTTCCGTACCCACTGTATATACACATACATTCATATCTTGTATACATGAAATATACATCATCTCCTCGTCTAACTCCTAAATATTTATAATACCACAAGTGTTCTTGACAAACTTACTTGGTTCTGCAGCTGGGCGACCTTTTCATTGTTTTGACTCATTTTCCTCAAGTCTTCCAGCTGCTCCTTCAAAGTAGACACTAGTAAAAAGGAAATAAAAGCTTTTAGAAATAAAATATTTTATATTGGGGGGAGGGGGGGAGCTTCATCTTTTCATATAACGTATTAACAGAACATTGAAATGTATATTATAATGACCTACATAGCACTTGGCTGAATGATATTTAAGTTAGGGCCATGGTCCTGTTTCCATTAGCTAATTTACAGATTGATATACATATAACATACAGGTCTGGCTGCTCTTTGCTGGTTCTATAAGTTTTATAACCTGCTTTCTAGAATACCCCCATGGTATATTGGAATGAGACACTGAATCCTCACCCTCATTCTCCAGATTTCTTCGTTTTTCAGCCTCCTGTTCAGCCTTTCTCTGATGTTCTGTTGCTCTGTGCTGGATCATGATCTTGTCTTTCTCCAGTAAAGACATGTTAGTCTCCACACTCTTTCTTAGGTTACGCTGAATTACGTCAGGACAACAGAATAACAAGAAACCGAGAATTAACATACGAAAAACAACCGAAGTTTTAACAGATCTTTAACTTGAATGATCTATTAGAGCCTTTTATACAAAATACAAAACCTCTGTAATTCTTTACATTCATGCTTTAGAGATGAAATAATTACACTCACCTCTTCGTCTAACTCTTTCATTATCTTGTCTAGCTTTGTATTGGATGCCCTGAGGGGTAAATGAATCAAACAACAGTTTTCAAAGGCCTGATTTTATTGTGAGAAAACTTTACTTTAGGTTTGGATATAGGGACGAGGAGCTTAAATGAGGAAAGGTGGATGGATTATTGAGGATGGATAGATCTACATACTGCATGGATGGCGGAATGAAGAGGTTGGTTTGAGGATGTATTTGGGACAGACTGTTGTATTGTGGCTGAATAGGAGAGGGGTTTGTTTTGGGTGGATGTATGATATATGGATGAGGTGTTTGACTGGTTTGAATAGGGTCTTTGGTGATGGATGGGTGGATGGATGGTGTTTGGTTTTAGATGGATGATTGAGGTGTTTGCTTTAGATCTGAATGGATGAGGTGTTTGATTGGTTTTGAATAGAAGAATGTGGTGTTTGTATTGTTGGATGGTGATGGATTGGTGGATGGATGGATGGATGGATTAAGTATTTGATTGGTTTTGGATGGATGGATGGATGGATGGAAGAGGTGTTTGGTGATGGATTAATGGATAGATGAGGTGTTTGGTTTTGGATGGATGGATGAGGAGCTAGTTTGGTTTGGTTGGATGGACGGATGGATGAGGTGTTTGTTTGGTTTGGATAGGGTGTTTGTTGATGGATTGACTGATAGATGAGGTGTTTGATTGGTTCTGGATGGATAGATGAGGAGTTTCATTGGTTTGTGGATGAATGGATGAGGTGTTTGATTGGTTTGAGTAGGGTGTTTGGTGATGGACCAATGGATAGATGAGGAGTTTGGTTTTGGAAGGATGGATGGATGGATGAGATGTTTGATTGGTTTTGAGTGGATAGATGAGGAGTTTTGTTGGTTTGTGGATGGACAGATGAGGTGTTTGATTGGTTTGATTAGGATGTTTGGTGATGGACCAATGGATAGATGAGGAGTTTTGGAAGGATGGATGGATGGATGAGGTGTTTGATTGGGTTGATTAGGGAGTTTGGTGGTGGATTGATGAATGGATGAGGTGTTTGATTGGTTTGGAAGGACAGGTGAGGAGTTTAATTGGTTTTAGATGGATAGATGAGGAGTTTAATTGGTTTGTGGATGGATGGATGAGGTGTTTGATTGGTTTGAGTAGGGTGTTTGGTGATGGACCAATGGATAGATGAGAAGTTTTGGAAGGATGGATGGATGGATGAGGTGTTTGATTGATTTGGATAGGGTGTTGATTGAAGGATTGATGGATGGATAAGGGGTTTGATTGGTTTGGGTAGGGAGTTTGGTGGTGGATTGATGAATAGATTAGGTGTTTGATTGGTTTGGAAGGACAGATGGATGGTTAGATAAAGTGTTTGGGTGGATGGACAAACAGACAGATAAACACCTGCACTTCTGCTCCATCTCGTCTCTCAGCTGCATCTCACTGTGAAGTTGTTCTTCTAGCTGATAAATTCTCTTCTGAAGATTCTCCAACTGAGGGATAAGAGAAACAAAACGAGTCACCCTCACAGTTTAAGAGACAGACTCACTATTATAATGCCATGAAAGTGAAATTTCTTACATGACTCTTATCTTCCTTTGTCGAGCTGCGTTTGTCACTTGTCTTTATAGCTGGTTCCCGAGGAAACCTGACAGAGAGTCAATAATTAATTAATTTAACACAAACATCTGGGCTCTAAGCACTGACTGCCTGTTCTGAATCTCAGTACTCACTGGTAGTAGGTAAAGCCCACGAATGGAAGCTGGTTGCCTACAAATGCTTTAGGAATGGGGAATGTCTCCTCCTCCCCTCGATCTTCCTCAATGTCGTCAAAGTTGCTTGTGTCTACATCACTGCTTAACTCCGGCACCACTGGAGCAGCCGCTACATGCAACAATACAGTAGTGCATTTTAATGAGAACAAACAAATAATGCTACAAGCACAAATACATCAAGGCTAATTAAAGGCAGGTACAATTTCAGTTCAGTTGTTGTCTCTACACAGGATTAGATGGATGGAATACAAAATTACAGCAAATCACTTTGCATTTACACATTTATAAATGAGGATTCAAAAAATATGAGTAATTCAAAAAGAATATTTGCCACACTTAATTTGGACAAAATCAAATTTTTCAAAATGCCTTTTTGAAGATTCCATGAAACGCTTTGATGAATGCAGATTTTACCAGTACACTAATATACAGGCGGTTTCAAAAATAACAGACATTAACTACAAAGTCATAGAAAGACCGATTTTGATTTCATGGGGTGTTTAAGGTAATTGAAAAAGATAACGAAGCTGGCAGATTTGAGGTTCAGAAGCTCAACTCACTCTCTCTCATGTTCTCCCATGTCCACTGGTCGTTCTTAAAAAAACTATGTCGCTTGATTTCGTCGACTCCATTGCGTCCTAACCGCACCTCCCTAGTGAGAGGAGATGAGATTAGCACGATGTATTTTGAGTAAACAAGCTTTTGTTCACTTCTGCATATGCAACTGAATAGTGATGAAAACATGTACTCCTGCAAACTGAGGAGTACAGGGAGAGTTTTAACTCATAAGCTCCTGAAAAATAAGGTTAACAAATCAAATCTTTATGAAATTATGATGAAATTATCATCTAAAGTTTTCAGATGGATATAAAAGAGTTGATCATAATATTAATCCTAATGCGTGACCTTACACAATTCAAAGCTATTAATATTCCTTCTTAAACAGAGTTAAATGCAGAAATTAGTGGTGAAGTTAAGGTGTCATTTCCACAAGGCAATGAAATCAAACAACTGAGGCCTAACTAAGAGAAGCATTTAAATAATGAAAATGATAAAAACAAGCATAATGCAAGAACCAAATTATTTTGTAATACCCAGAAAACACAAACAGCAGTTTGATGCATCTTATGGCGCTTTTCCACTGCATGGTACGGCACGGTACGGCTCCGCGCGGGTTCCTTT